GGGAAGCTCACATTCATAGGCATGAAGGTAAGGAATAGCCCACAATTCCAGGTTGAGGCACTTATTTGCAATTATGAAAAATTGGTGACGATTTATTAAATGCAGGCAGAAAAGCATGGAGTTGGTTTGTCTTATGTATCGCCAATATTGTCATCCTATAGGCTGGTGCAAAAATAATTGTGGTTTTTGCCATTTAAAAGTAACTCCAGGGAGACAAGGCTCTCATATTCAAAAAATGAATTATCTTTAAATCTAATCAGATTAGAAAGACAATTCCAGAAACTCCAGAACCAATGCAGAAAACTCATCCTCAAAATTCTGCTCCTCTAGAAGCACTCTTAGTACCAAAATCACTGGGGTAGAGTGATCATCCTAAACCACAGGCCCCATCTTATCACCTCCTTCCTCAAAGGCATATTTCGTAGCTCCCCATTAAACAGCTCTCCATTGCTGGTGGGATCAACTCCACACTCCTAAACATGATAATCCGTTGCCAGTGATGTCATTTGTAAGAACCAAATGGCTTACCCTGCCACATAGCCTTGAGCTTCCTAAGTTTAGTCATTTCTTTGGGTGATTTTTCTTTTACATACCCAGAAAATGCATAATTATCACATAAAAGGTTAAAATACATGTGGATTCACTCATCAACCACCTAAAATTGTGGAATTTCAGAAGAAAGACTTCAGATTGGCCCAAGGTCACACAATCATTAATAGGGCAATTGCAAAAACAAATCTCCTAATTCTAGAACCACTTCCCCAAGCTCAAGCTCTATCCCTTTACACTGTCTTTGTTTCCTTCCTATCTGAATAAAAGTGGTAAGACTGAATATTGCATTGCACGATTATATTGTGGTGTTTGTATTTAACATCTCTGTGTGACCTCCATTTCCGCCATTAGAATAAAACTCATTGAGTGCCAGGACTTTGTCTCCTTGTATTGCTATAAAGCAGAGGAGTACCAGGCGTGTGGTAATGTTTAATCATTTTTTAAAAGAATGGATGAAGACTTTAATTAACAAATGAATGCTTCTCCTTCATTGAGAGTTGAAAGAGACCAACTGCTGGACACTAGGCAGGGTTGAGCCTTCAATGTCAACAACATACTCACAGACCTTTTTCTTCCCCAAGTGTGACAGTTCCAGATGAGGATCCAACAAAACATAATGCTCAAGAGAAGTAAACTTTCATCTTTCTAAACGCTCAGAAAAATAGGACAGCAGCACCCAGATATTTTTGTCACCTGGCCAAGGGATATTTATTTATTTTCTGAACTGATTCATTAATTTCCAGGAAAAAAATAACAAAATATCCTATGATTTGACACTTGAATTTGGGAATGGAGATTTCTCTTACTGAATTCCTTTCCTGGGTCATCAAGTAGAAGTCTAGTGTAAAGACATCACTTTCAGAGAGTTTCTTTTTCTTTTCTTTTCTTTTCTTTTTTTTTTTTTTTTTTTTTTTTTTTTTTTAATGAGACGAGTTGTCACTCTCTCACCCAGGCTGGAGCACAGTGGCACAATGATAGCTCACTGCAACTTCCGCCTCTTGGGCGCAAGCAATCCTCCCACCTCAGCCTCTCGAGTAGCTGGAACTACAGGCATGCACCACCATATCTGGCTAATTTCTTTTGTATTTTGTAGACACGGGTTTCACCATGTTTCCCAGGCTGATCTCAAACTCCTGGGATCAAGTGATCCTCCCACTTCGGCCTCCCAAAGCACTGGGATTACAGGCATGAGCCACCACACCCAACCAGAGAGTTTCTTTTTAAAACAGAGAGAGGATGGGGAAAGAGAGATCTGAGTTAGCAGCACTCAAACATAAACAGCCTTTTTACCAGCTGAGGTAGGATAGCTTGACCTTAGAAGTCTATCATAAAAAACATTGGCTGAAAGAAATTTGCAGTCTCACCTGAGAAAATCTGTTCCTGAATCATTATCAAGCAATGAGTTTAGTAATAATAACAACCACAATTAACGATGTTAACTAAGATATCTTGAGCACTGATTAGGTCCAGGTACTGTTTTAGCCATGTTAAATGGATTAACCTCATTTAATTCCCCAAAAAAATCCTATGAAGTAGATACAATTATTATCTCCATTTTGCAAACAAGGAAACCAAGGCACAGAGAAGCCAGGCAACTTGCCCAAAATCACGCTACTAAGAAATGGCACAGCAAGGACTCAAACCCAAGTAACTGGCTCCAGAGCCACACTGCTTCATCATCTCACCGCAGGTATAGTTCACTGCAAATGCCAGAAGGCAGAATGGCAGAATATAAAGTAACAAGAACTAATCGTTGTTGAGGGGGCACCAAGTGCTGGTTGCTTTACACCTACATTATCTCATTTAGTCCTCACAGCACTGTATTACTGCTCTTATTCTACAGATGGAAACACCAAGAATTAGACGAGTCATCACTTGCCCAAGGTCACTAGCAAATCGATGACATATAGGACACACCCAGTTGCCTAGAGGTTGGACTCCAGTACCCACATCATTATCAGCACACCATGCTCCCTTTCTGCTGGAAGCAGTCTGGTGCTCCAAGTAATCTATAAGGTGCTTGATGACACAGACAGTGGCCTGTGCATGGCATGACCTCTTTCCCACAAACCAGGCATGAGAGAAGGGCAGTGTGATGTGGCAGAATGGGCCCAGACTTTTAAGTCAAATAGACCTGGGGTCAAACCCCTGCTTGACACTTACGAGCTATGTGACCTTAGATAAAACTCTCTGAATCTGGGTCTGCATGTTTACACTGAAGGACAAAGATCATCTAGCTGACATGGTGACTCTGAAGGTTCCATGTGACCGTGTGTGGAAATTCTGGCCTCATGAAATCCTCAAATCATCCAGCCTCCTGGATCCATTTAGACATTCATTTTCTTGACCACAAAGAGGGTCCCATGAGTGCACAGGAAGTCCATCTCTGTTCAGAGGGTCTGCCTTCTCCTCTTGGGCTGAGTCACAGCATCTTCTGGGCAGACACTAAGAGCAAAATTACAAAAACCTGGACTCCCCAGATTAAGACCATGTTCCCGCAACTCCCAGCATTTGCCCTAAGAGCCAGCAAGGGCTGCAACCATACTGCAGCTCTGTTAAAGAGGCTGCTAGGCACCACGGTGCCAGAGAGACCAGCAGGGCATGAAATCATTACCGATGTTGCCAATTTGGACTCACAGGGACCCAGGGTTTCAGTTGGGAATGCTGCAAAACAAATTAATGTCTTGGAAATGTTTACATCAGTTGGAGATGGTTTTGTTTTGTTTGGGGTTTTTGGGTTTTATCGGTTGTTGGTTGGTTGGTTGGTTGGTTTTGTCCTTTAAAAAAAATCTACTATTTATACTTAAAAGCAGGTAGCAGAATTTTTTAATATGAAAAAGAACTACACTAAAATGATATTGGTGTTTAAAAACTCTAGGTAATATCCTTGCTTCTCAAGCCCTTCCTTCTGTTTGCATATACTCTGTCTCTTTTGGTGCCCTCATGGTTATATCTGACATAGTTCTAATCATTTTAAATGGCCCTTTAGTTAAACACAAATGTGTAAAACCATTTTAAAAAGCCCCCAGGAACAATTCTTTATGCAGATGTCCTTTATTTGATATCTCAGTTTTATTTACAGTGGCCCTAATTCAGGGGATTGCAAACTGCAGCCCGCAGGCTAAATCTGGCCCACCGACCATTTTTTCGTAAATAAAGTCTAATTGGAACACGGTCACGCCCATTTGTTTACATGTTGTTCAAAGCTGCTATTGTGCTACCGTGGCAGAGTTGAGTGGTTGTGACAGAGACCATCTGGGTCTGCAAAGTCTACAATATCTACTATCTGGGTCTTTACAGAACTGTTTGCTAGCTGTTGTTCTATAGCAAATATTGGGGATCTGAATTGCACCAGGTATTTCATAGAGACTGTCCCTACAGTAACTAAATAATTCTCTGTGTTTGTTAATGTCTGTTTGTTCAACTACATGCAAATTATCTGAGAGACAAAAGCTTTTTTCTTCCCAGGTCCTGAGCACAGAGTCTAGCATAAGGTAAATCAATAAAAAATATTTGTTGAATGAAGGAGCTGAATTGCTAGATAGATTTTGAGCTCTTCAGGGTCACAAGCATGTCCTGGTCTTGAATGAGAACTTGACTCATAGTTCTAAATAACTGCATGTTTGCTGCACAATTAATTCCATGGACTCTAAGTTTAGAGGCTAGATATGTTTTGCAGGACATTTGGTGACTAAAGACAAATGCTTGTCCATATGATGATGAATCTTTTCTACATCACACCATTTGTGCATATCCTCTCTCTAATTTCACAAATCGTCTCTCCCTCAGCCTGATGCTGATGCTTGGCTCTGATGATGCTGATCTCTTAATTGATTTGCAAAGCTGTTCCTCTATCCTGCAGAATCCATCTGTGCTTCACAGCACGGTTCCCAACAGCCTGCAGGGACTCCACTGGTGTGCTCAAGTCCACCATTCATCCCCAGGGTATGTGGGCATTCAGCCTACTAACATTTATGTACATGAGAAACCAGGAACAGACACCATCAGATTCTGGAAAGACACAGAGAGAAGAACCAAGTGGAAGACACCAGCCAGAGGTCTCTTCCCAAATATATTTGTCATTTGGACATGCAAGAAGGTTTAATTTGCCACTCCCACATTTGCCACTCCCAAAATGTATTTGTCATTTGGACATCGAAGAAGGTTTAATAAGAAGAAGAAAGAAATCTGACTCTCAAGGAGGCAACAAGATCTGGAAAGCAAACTAAGAGCTCAGAAGTCAGATAGACCTCAATAGAAATCTAAGCTCCAAGACTTATTAGCTGTGCAAACTTAAGCCAATCAATTGATTTCTCCAAGATAAAAATTCCTTAACAGCAAAATGGGTACATTGTGATATATTTAAAGTGCCTAATAGTGACAGATACTACATAAATTTTACTTCTCCTTCCCTTTCATTGGAGGGATCATTGGAAATTTCCACTTACCTAGCATTCCTTTTTTGGAACTGGACAGACACATGTCCTTCTCTGCACTGGGCAGGGCAAAACTCACCACGAACACTTCCACTCCATCGGCCATCAGGGCCAAACCTAAGACGAAAAAGAGGATCCACTGGAAGCGGCCATGGCCACACTCATCCATAATGGTCTCGTACTGGTGGGCCAACTGCTCCTCATCTTCCAGCCTCTCAGCCATCAGGTCTGTCTGGCCCCGAAGGCTGTCCATTCTGGAGGGCGCCATCTTGGCCTGCTTGGCCTTGACATCATCTGGGTGAGGGATACCCTGGTACTCGCCCTCATAGATCTCGTCTTCCTCATCATGACCTTCGGTGACATCACTCTGTGCATCTTCTTCTGGGTTGGACTCATTGCCACGGTAATAGCCATCACTGGGGGCATAGCCCCCATAGTTGTCCTGATACTTGTAGTCATCCATTCCTTGGTTCTGCGACTGCTTGGTTGCCACTTGAGCTATATCCCTCGCTCTGTGGTAGAGGTTTGGGCTATTTCAATAACCATCATTCACTATGTAGTTCAAACGTGAAATATGTTCATGTGACTTCTTAGGTGAAAGTCACACTCGTTTTCTCACCCCTTTATCTCTCAAATCAACCAGATTTGTGCAAAGACAACCTAAATATCCTTTTGTACTCGATATCTATTGGAAGTCTGGAAAGTTTCAAGCTCTGGTCTCCTTTAGAGACTCAGAAGTGTTGTGTTGGGAAGTGTTGATTAGAAATGGATCTAGCTGTTTTTCTTGACAGGGACTTGGCAGACTGCGTGCTGGCCTGATTTGTCCTGCCACCGAAGATTATGCCCTGAGAACAGAGAGAAGGGATAGAGAAGAATGTTACAAAAGGTTGAAATTCTAACAAAATACTCTCAGAATTAAGCCAATATATTCGGTAAAGCCAATGCCTCATGTGTAAGGTGGGGAAAATCTTGATCAGAGATTCAAATTTCTATCAACTGAATGAGGATTGACTCAGTGAGGCTGGAGGCTAAGGGAGAAGGAACCGTGGTCAGAGAAGCCCTTTGAAGCTCTAATTGACCCATGAAAGAGGTCAAATCTTATGCAAGTTAGAAGAAATACCTAATGTAAATGTCAAGTTAATGGGTGCAGCGAACCAACATGGCACATGTATACATATGTAACAAACCTGCACGTTGTGCACATGTACCCTAGAACTTAAAGAACAATAATAATAAAATTTAAAAAAATTAAAAATCTTATGCAAGAATGGAATATAAAGTGGTCAAGGGATTTTCACTCTAAGATAATTTTGTGTTATGGATTTTCTATTAGAACTTATCAAGCCTTTGGCAATAGTGGAGGTTATTAGAGCTCAGTTTCTGCTATGAAAATGCCAGCTTTTCTAACTTTGTCATGAAGTGGCTGTACAATTTAACATCTAGAAATGTATGGCAAAAAAATAAATAAATAAATAGCTGGAAACATTTTTCTTGAGTCCCAGCTTACTTTTGAGACTCAGCATTGTGGTTCAAAGACCACTCTGTCCTCACATGAGGCTTAAACAGGCAGCAACAGGGGGCTGAGGATACAGCCAGATGACCTGGGTCTGAAACTCAATTCTGCTGCACAATGGACCATGCGACCATGCACGCATCTTTCCGAGCCCCAATTTTCTCATGTATAAAATGGGATAACAACAGTACTTATTCAAAAGGTTGTGCATAAAGTGCTTAGAATAGTGCCTGGTCTGCACAGGTAAATACTATTTAAGCCTCGACATGAGTGCTGCTTTTTTCTTTTTTTTTTTCTAGTTCCATTTCTGGACACCAGGAGGCAATGTTGTCTAGAGTCAAGATCTCATCCTATATCCCAATTCCAGTCAGAGTCCCTCTGTTGACTCCTTTGCCCAGTGGATTCTCATTGTGCCTAGAATCTCAGGTTTCACAAGGCTTGGGGCCACCATTTATTGTGGCCTATCGTGTGCCAGAGAGTGTGCTAAGTGTATCACATCTCTTATCTATAATTCTCACAACAGCAAAGAAAGAAAGAAAAAAAATCTGTATCTTCATTTGAGAGATAATCAAACTGTCTCAGAGTGGGTTAGTAACACGATCAAGGTCACAGCACTAGGACCAGGTCACTGGTCCCAAAGCCAACTCTTTCCTCATGCTTCTCAAATGCTATCCCGAGGGACTCACATTAAATCACCTGGGGAGCTTTAAAAATACAGATTCCCACAGTGTAATGAAGAAGGGCTGGTTCAAGCTCAGAAATCCAAATTTGCACACAGCTCTCTCCAAGTGGCTCTGAGGCCCCGCCTCACTGAGTCAGGTGAGTGGAGTCAGGTGAGTGGAGTTAGCCCCCCTCACGACTAGGCATCAGCCCCTCCTACACCCCCTACCCCACCCCAGTGCTCCCAGCTGCTAGACCCTTGATAGGGATGATGCTCGGACCTCCATACATTGAGGCTGCCAGAGACTCATGTCCCAGGTCAAACCACCTGCCGACAGTACAGACCCCATCAACCTTTACAGGCCTCCCTGTCACACCTGAAATCCACTGTCCTTTTAGCATGCTCAGCAGATGTCACCTCACAAAGGATTGGACACACTTGTCCTCACCATGGCTACTTGACTCCTCCCTTTGCCCACAGACCATCCCTGGGCCATCTGCCCCACACCTGCTTCCTGGCCCTCCTGGTCTTCAGCCCTGGACAGACTCCAGCACTGAAACCCATCTGACTCAGACAACACAACGCATTTCCTTCTGAGAGGATGGAAACCAGTGGTTCTCAAACATTGCAGGGTGAAGCACCACTCGGAACATGGGCAGATCAACAGAAATGCCAATTCCAGGACCCCTCCCTGGAAGACACTGAATCTGCAGGATGGGGGCAGGACCTTGCAATCTGCATTTTCCACAAACAACACCGGGAATCCAGGACTGCACTTTGAAAAACAGTGCCAAAGAAGCCAGCAACAAATACTTACTAAGAAATGATTCGCACTCTACTCTTTCTGATTTTTCACCATCTCCAGTAAATAAATTTCTATTAGACCATGTTGGCTTGAACCATGTCAGATTAATATTCTAAATCTGTTTTTATTACATCTATTTAGGGACCACCAGAGGAATATAAGTCACATGTAAACAGCAGGAGAGTTTGCAGAGTGCTATAAAAACAGGGAAAGAACACCAATTGACTGAGACCTGGTGTGTTATTTCCATCCCGGGGGCCCTATAACAACATCGTGAACTAGAAGTGATAGACTTACAATTCCAAAAGTACTTGTGGGACTCACCACTCAGGACAAAGGTTCTGGGAGTTGCTTTGCAGAAAGAAGAGGATCTTCGTCAAAACTAACTCCACTCACCTGATCCAGTTAAAAGAACTGCTGTGAATGTCAAGTGCAGTGGAGGGAAGGGGAATCACTGTCCAGTGATTTTTCATTTCTATTTCATTTAAGAAATAGAACTATTAATCATTTTCAATGGTACTGGCTGAATTGTGTCTCTATAGCATGAAGGTATGTTGAAATTCTGACTGCTGGTACCTCAAAATGTGATCTTATTTGGAAATAGAGTCTTTACAGAGGTGATCAAGTTAAGATGAGATCATTCGGATGGGTCCTAATCCAATATGACTGGTGTCTTTATAAAAGGACACAGAGACAGACATGCTCAAAAGGAAGACAATGTGAAGACCCAAGACAAATGCCATCTACAAGCCTAAGGCTTCCCAACCTGCAACAGATTCTCTCTCACAGCTCTCAGAAGGAATCAACGGTGTTGACACCCTGATTCTGAACATCTAAGCTCCAGAGTTATGAAACAAATAAATTTCGGTGGTTTAAACCATCCAATCAGTAGTATTTTTTATGACAGACCCAGGAAACTAATACATTCAACAAGTCTAGTGTTTATCAAATAACAAAATCAAACAGCTATGATAAAACAACCACAAGTGCAACTGAACTGAGTACTGAGGTGAGCATTTTATAAGCAATACCTCATTAATTCTTACAGCCAATAGTAAAACAAGATTATTCTCTCCATTTCACAGATTAAGAAACTGAGGACTAAGAAGATTGAAGAATGTGCCCAAATTAACACAGAGAATCAATATCGGGCTTGGATTTGAAATCCACGTTCAAACAGAATATTAGGGATGATGATACAAAGTGAAAGAAACGAAGATGCCAAGAATATAAGTCAAGGTCACATGCTGAGTCGCTGGTAGAGCTCACATTGACATTGAGCTTCCAACTCTTTGATTAGGGTTTGCTCACCCATCCTCAACAAACATGTCCTGGGATCTTGATGCTGAAGCATTACAGGAACTGTGACATGACTTGATCCCCATTCTCAGAAGATTTACCCCTCATGAGAGAGTTAGATTAAAACAACACAAAGCATCATGCAGTAATAAAAATTACAATCTCGATTATTAATAACAGTATCTTCCATTTATTGAATACTTGCCTTGAGGCTTTGTGCCAGTTACTGTTCTAAGTTTACCATGTGCTTTACATCTTTTTACCTGCACAAGAACTGTGTGAGGTGGGACTATTATTGTGCCCATTTTACAGAAAATAAGACTGAGACCGAAGAACTTAGATAGATGACACAGGGTCACAGACATTTGTTCTCCAAGGGGTTCCAAAGGAAGGAGGGGTCCTATGGGCCGGGATCTGCTGAAATAGTATCCTAGAGGTAGTGGGGATGTCCAAGGGCAGGAAAGGGCTCAGAGAAACAAACAATGGAGAGGAAGGCATGGCAGGCTGGAGGACAAGGCTACACAGAGGCATGGAGGCAGGATGGCTTTGCTTGTCTTGGCAGCAGTGAAGAGGCCAGGTGGCCTACAGCAGTTGATCCAAGAGTGGGAGGTTATGGGAGATATGATGCGGAAGGAAATAGAAGTCAGTGTGAATACACTGCTCAGGGTTTGAAATTTTCTTTGAGAAAAGAGAGCCAGTGAAGGTTGTTAAACTGGACACAGCAGTGCAGTGCAGCAGGGCAGGGCTCTGGAAAGATCCTTCTCATGGGGATGTGCTCCTGGTTTTTAATAAAAATTCTAACAACAATGAAACCAGGTAGAAGCTTTCATGTATGCATGTGTGTGTGTGTGTGTGTGTGTGTGTGTGTGTGTGTGTGTGTGTGTACATGCTTGGTAATAGTCCAGAGGAGAGGTGAGGTCTGGACCAAGGGGGTGGCCATGGGGCTGGAAGGATAGACACAAGAGGACTCCCACAGGAGAACACATGGTGCATTTCCTATTAGGTGAGGAGGAAAGGCCGAGAGTGACTAGAACAATGATGACCCTAACGAGCCAAATTCTGGACTGGAAACCTTTCCAGCATCCTATATAATTCCTGTGTAATTAAGATTTTAAAAAATCTTTTTTCAGGCTGATCCACCTTTTCGGTATGATTGTGGGATGTACAACAGAGACTCTGGTCTCAGAGGGTCCAGGTTCCAATCCTGACTCTGCCATATCTACTACCTGCATGCAAGCTACTAACTGCTCTGTGCCCCAGTTTCCTCATCTGTAAAATGGTTATAGTAGGGTCATTGTGAGAATTCAGTTGAGATCATCCATGAAGAGTGCTCAGCACGGTGCCTGGCACAGATGTGATCAATTTAAATCTCATCTAATAGCTATTATTGTTGTTGTCATCATAATTATTGTCTGGACATGGGGGCTCACACCTGTAATCCCAGTACTTTAGGAGGCAGAGGTGGGAGGATTGCTTGATTCCAGGAGTTTGAGACCAGCCTGAGCAACATGGTAAAATTCTGTCTCTACAAAAAATACAAAAAGTCAGCCAGGCGTGGTTGTGCACA